GGAGAGAAGGGCGACTTATCGGAAAACCTTAATGCCCTAAGCAAACATCCAGGGTCAAGGCGCCTACACCTTGTGAAAACAACACACCGTCACAAACAGCTGGCTATCGTGCAAAGATATGGCGGCATCGGCGAGACAGCTTCCTTGCGGCTTTCACTGCCACGCGTCATAATCAGCCATTACCCTGCAGATAACTCAGCACCAAACACACTTTAAACAGGCAATCCAGATAGGAGAATGCAGCAGACGCGCCGCTGGAGTCGGTTGCAAACGATGTCCTATATAACCTCGAGCCAAACACGAGGCGAGTCACGTGGACTCCAGCCCGGAATACGAGACGGACCAACGGCATCCAGTTTGATCGTCAGTGACTTCATTTCCGGCTGTTAACTCAACTTCTGTCCGCCTCGTGCCTTGCACCACCCTACACCTGGCAGACTAAACAAGGCCCTCCTACGTCAGCGGTGACCAGGCATACGTAGCACGTGCCCGAGTCAACGCAACTTATTCAGTGTTATCTGTTGTTCTACTGAGCTATCATGATTATCTCTAGATGGTACCCGCCTACGCACATCATCGTTGCGGACATACTGGTGTCATCCGACACCAGCAATACTTCACAGACAACGATGATCAAAGACTTGAAGGCGCCTCAGATCGCCAGACCGAAGGGGTCAAGTTTCACTCCCATAGAACAGCATAGCCCTCAATGTGGCCGCTTAGCCCATCGCGTCAGTGCCACAACCTGGTCGTTCCTCGCTGAAGGCCACCCGGAAGTCACTTGGCTCAAATTGGTCAACAAATTCAATCAACTTGTCATCGATCCCTCAAAGACAAAGATTTTAAATGGGCCTAAAACAGTTTCTTTTGTGAAGAGTAGAACTAGAGAATGGATGACTGTACGCAACGCAGTCTGGCGAGAATACGGATCATCACCAAGCCAGGTAGTTGGGACATATCATTAGCCAGTCGCAACCACTGCACCCCATTGCTCAGAAATGACAACGGCGCATGTCAGGAGCATATGGCAAAAACTTGCAGCGCTAACCACAAACTGCTGTACAAGTATGTCAATGGGCGTCATAAGCTGAGGCAGGAAATTCCTCTGCTCCGGACGACTGAAGGTCTAACTAGAACAGCTATAGAAGCAGCAAACGCGTTGCGGATGCAATATGCTCCCACATTTCACTGAGTCTTACCAACAGGCCATCTTTTAACCTTTTTGCCGCCTCCTGGACTCACCCTATTCCCATTTACTGTGGAAGCTGTATTGCAGAAGCTGACGTCTCTATGCAAACACAGATCTCCGGGAGTCGACAACATTCGCCCGGAGGCATAGGGAGCAGCATCAAGACAACTGGTAAAACCTTTGGTCCAGTTCTTTCGGCGCTGCTTAGACCAGAACCAGATTCCTGCTATGTGGAAGCTTGGAATAATAACTCCTTCACAAAGGCGGAAACAGGACTGAACCCTCAAATTACTGCATTGTGTTTCGTCTCTCTGTATAATCCAAAGTCATCAAATCCATCGTTTCCAACGCCTTAATGTGTTATCTAGAAAGGTCTAACGTTATTGCTCCCGAGTAACATGACTTTCGCCGACAGCGATTGTGCACAACGAATCGAATAATTGCACGGAGTAGTTGGACCGAGTCATCTGACGCTGGGGAGTCAGTTGATGTGATATACTTCGATTTTTTGAAGGCATTCAATAGTTTAGATAATCCGATTCTCCTTTCCAATCTCCAATATTACGTGATCGGTGACCCTCTCTTGAATTGGATGGCCAACTTTCTCTCGCAACGACAATTAGTGCTCAGAGCCCGGAGTGCCTTATCTGAACCCATACCAGTCGAGTTTGGTGTGCCCCAGGGCTCAGTTCTAAGTTCACGATTGATTTTGGTATTCATCAATGACCTTGCACGAAAAATCTCTTCAAATTTCCTGTTGTTTGCTGACGATACCAAAATATGGCGCTGGATTCAGGCGGATACCGATCGGAATTTACTTTAATGTGACCTGGAGATGGTACATGATTGGTCAACTCGAAATCTGTTACCGTTCAACGTGGACAAATGCAAGGTACTCTCCACAAAACACCAGAGTAACTATTCCAGCACGGTAGGAACGCAAGTACTGCAATGGTTATCCGTCGAACGCGACCTTGGCGCGTTTATTCTTGAGTTGTTCCAAGCAATCCACAATAGCCTCGAAAATTGGCAACAAGCAGGTTGGCTTGTTACAATGGTCTTTCGGACAAATAGACACCATTATGTTCGGACAGGTGCTCAATACGTATGTTCGTTCCCATTTCGAATACGCAATCCAAGCCTGGCAGCCATGGCTGAAGCACGACCTTACCGTACTGAACCAATCTCAAAATCGGTCTTCTAAATACCTCATTGAAATGCGCCAGCTCCCATACGAGCAGGGATTGAAACGTTTGGGAGTATTCAGCGGGCGGTATTGACGATTACGAGGCGAATTGTTTGTGGCGTATTTGCTTTTACACAATCCCAATCTTGTGTGCCGCTCTTTGCTACAACTCAGCATTAACACCCAACTTAGAGGTCACTCCTTGAAATTAGCAGAACAGTATAGCCATCTGCGATGCCGTAGAAATTTCTTTTCCATTCGTGTGTCTCAGCTTTGGAACGCTCTCCCCGAATCGGTTGTCTATGCACCCACGCTAGTCATATTGAAAAGTCGGTTGGATAACGCACTACGCCGCTTACATTTTGTTACTTGACGCTGCGCTCCATCTTACTCCCTGGAAATACGTTGGATTTATTTTTTCGTTTATTGAAGGTATGGAAACACTTGGAGTGCAGACTACTGCGTTACATAGTATAAGTCTATTCTTTTGATAGTAGAACTACTAACTGGTTTTTTCATTAACCTTTTCCGATGACCTACCAGACTACCAACGGGGCTTGTAAAGCATTGCTTCTTAAGCCGTATAAAATCACTGTTCATTTAACATATTCAGTTCCTTTTAACAATGTGGAGAGCATTCCAAACCATTTCTAATGTGGAGTGCATGATCAAAAGACGAATACTAGTAAATGTATGCACATTTTGCTCTTTCCTGCGTATCGTTCACAATAAGCGGTATGTGTATGCACACTTTACCCAAGGATGTGACTAAATCAGATTGAGCTGTAAACTAAATAACCGAAATCCAACACGTATATTCATGGCCGCCAAAGACTGAGATATGACTGACGTTAACTAAGATGACATCATCTGGTCCATTGTGACGGTATCAGGAGAAAGGGTGAGAGCGGGAATAATTGTGATGCAGTACAATATTGTATACTGAACCGGGTTTCAGTAAGGGACATGGTATCAGTAAGTAGTGTTGACAGAGATTCGTCACACAGCTGCGCTCAGTCAGACAGGCACTATGTTTTCAACAGAGCACTGGACGGCAGTTTCATACATTTGGGAGTCATCGGCATTGTGCATTTCATCTGTGCCCCGTGTGTCCAGAACCAGTTGCCATACTCTTAAGAATCTGCAGCTTGGACCACGGTTCCAAGGGGGATGGACTACGCACTACTGACGATTACTGAAAGAATGAAACAGCTATCCAGTGTTCTTCCGGATGAGCAGTGACAGTGACGAATCACTTTCGAAAACCTAATCCAAGTCCAAAATTTCACTCTCTCTAAAACCGTAAGCAAGTGTTCATCGAGGAAGCCGTCGGCCTAGGCGAACACGGAGACAGACGGAACAGGGATGCCGGATAACTTCACACTAATCAATTAATCCAAGAAGTGAGCTTCGCTTATACACATTGCTTCTCAAGCCAATTGTTACCTCTAGTGTTATTCGCATACGCATTTATATCGTTTATTGATAATGGCACTGGGAAGTCCACTGCTGAAGGTGTTCTTCCATTGGGTGACGACGGGGGAAGCAGCCGAACGGGCGCAACCACGTCGTTTGACGCATCTTAAGAACTGGTACAGAATCGCGGTAGCGCGGGAGTAAGCAGGTTAGCTAATACCTGTCAGTTACGTCCGCTTTCTAAGAAGAAGTGTTGCCAAAGCCCGAGGATAAACCATTTTGCCTGCAGTGAGAGCCAAATCGCTCCAAAACGATTACTTTTACCATGTAACTATGGGGTGCACTACTAACGAGTAGTACGGTGAAACGAGCAGGCGCGGTGCACGCAGAACATAATCATGGATAACCACAGACGACGGGCATGTAGTGCACAATCCAATCAGCCATGGAAACGGAAGTCACTAATTTGGGACCTATACCACATTGTCACGCAAGCTGAGTGGATAGTGTAGCGTAGAATCTAATGGCACCATGAAGGAAGAGCGCAAATGAGGCAGACTTTCTATATTCGAAATGTTAAACCATGTATACGTGAGTTCTCCAATGCACCATTCGTTCGTAGCGCCCCGGCTTCCCCTCATTTGGTGTCGTGACAAGGATCGAACCTGGGTTCCTGCGGGGTCCATTATTCGCTGTGTTCACGGCGCCTGCTTGTTTCACCATACTACTCATTAGTAGTGCGCCACAACTAGATAATCTGAGGTGAGCTGTAGTTCAACCCAAATAATCGCTCGAATAGATCGGAATACCTACGCGTTGCCCCTACATTCTTCGGCTGGGTTTCTCATGGTTGGAGTACACTGCCACAGCTCGCCTGTCACCTTACGCGTCGCCAGACACTTTGTACCTCGAGCTCTCTAAAGAGGTTATCCTGCGTTCGTCTTGTGGTTCTGATTTACCGTCAAGACTCGTTAGGTTCTTTTGTCTTAAACGGTACCCCGATTATATGCCTAGGCATCATCCGGCGTGCAACATGGTTCCTGCAGCTGCTCAATAGCATGTAGCACAGCACAGGTCAAGCAAAAGTGAAGTGAAGTGAAGACCTCCATGTGGGGCAGCGTAATGGCAGATTATACGGATTATCACAAAAGGTAGTGCACAAGCTCAAACTCACAACCATGGATTGTGAACGTGAAAATTACATCTCACCTGATCTGCAGTTCGCCGAGGACTGTGAGGCCATCGAGCAGCCATCACGGTTGCGACTTCCTCCCAAGCACGCCGCTTCAGCCGATTGGTAGATGGGGAGAGCGAGAGCAGAACCTGTTTCCTCAGGCCAATTTCATGCAACAACACACGAACTTCATCAATCATGAATGTTTCGGCCCGTTGCTTGGACGGGGCGGCTAATATGGAGGCCATACAGGAAGATGAAAGATCACTCAGTTTCAAATGTTCGTTTGTTGTACGCGGTGTTCCATCCATTGCAGCAGCCGCTGTGATTGATGATATTGCGCAGTGTGTCGACGCATGTAGAGCTTCTGCGGATGATGCGGATGCAACGGTAGAAAATGGCACGGAGTTGGCATGAAGAGCTGTCTGTATTCTTTGCTCACATCGATGTAGATGTGTAGGTTGGTTAGTTTGGAAAAAGCTTTGCGGGACAGGCGATGACGTTGTTGTTTGTGTGATTCCACTAGAATTGAAATGCGACCCCGTGGAGGGAACTGGCTGCATCACGAGCAGGCGCAGCTACTTCCAATTACGAAACGATAGAGGCAGGATAGGAAGGCGCTGCTGGGTCCATGCTAAATCAATCAACGGAGGAGTGAGGAGCGAGAACATTGGTTGGTGGTTAGTGGTTGGTGGTTAGTGAAGCTGGCGTAGTGAGCGAAGTGTAGACAGGCGACGGCGAGAGAGCGAGCCTTAGTGTGGTTACGTCCTACTTTGAAAAGGCAAGTACACCTGCGCGTATCCGGTCAGGGCATAAATCACGCGCGGCACATTCTGGTCACATAAAGTGTAAGGGATAGAAGCCCGTGGCAACCCAAAAGATGAATCGTATCGGTGTACACATGTTAATATTGGTCGATCATGGACTACTGATAGATTTAACCTTGTGCCCTACCATGGATTGGCGGCGTCTGTATTCAGTTTTGTCTGGCACTGTGTCCCCACTAAGACAGCCGCAGGAAGCTTGCGCTGTCAGAGGGACCGTGGGTGACCTGCGCCGAATCACCCACAGTTTTATCAACGTAGCAGACCCACAGTTCTTCAACAAGCAGAGCAGAAGCATTCACGCCTAACTTGGAAGCCATGAGTACCAGACGTAGACAAGTCGGTGACTGGACCGTAGTCCGTTCCACACTGAGTGCATAGAACCACTCTTTGAGCCTGGTGCGACCACGTGGACGGTGCACTTCGTCTGCCCCAGCAACGATTCAGTGTCTTCTGGATCGAGTAATCCAGGTGGAGGGTGCTGGACAGGTAGGCACCTTGTCAAGATTCATCTCAACCGCAGCTACACCGGGGATTTCTAACAACGAGCACAGCATGTGGAAGAAAATAAACACGCGAAATTGACACGGAATATGCAGTAGAATAACAGAAAGGAGCAAATCAAATAGGATACTTTCTATCCAGATTAGGCAGAGCTAGTTTGAATGTAAATTGGTGTAGCCTAACTACGTTGAATAAGCATAACGTTTGTAGAATCAACCACAAACATGGGGCACCATATGAATATGAACGAATATGTGGACATGAAACGCGGCAAGTGGACAGTAAATGTTCGGCAGAATGAACCAACTGAGCAACGCCGTGTACGAATTCTGATTTATTGTTATAGGGATCTTGGGTGAATTTAAGAGTATAGCAGGGGCGAGATAGGACCATATATTCTGCGACATAATTTCCAGAACTAGCATCTACGCAAAAGCGAGAGGCAGTAGAGTCTAGTCCGGTGAACAATCCCATGGAGCTTACATAGTGATGTAGTTCACGAACAGATACGAAGCAGGAGAGTATGCCGTAGCTCACCGTCATGGCATGTCACCACACTGGAATAGACTTGTGAAGCAGCAAAGGTGACAAAGTCATGAAGCATACAGTACTGTAGCGAGAAAAAATGTGGCGCATGCGTGAAATACCGTGGTGCCAATTAAGCTCACTATGAGGTAAACTCGGCATGATGCTTACGCACTAAACGGGCGTAGCACAGATGCGGTATAGCATCAAGTGAGCAATTAATCACTTAGAGCGAAGCGATACCCAAGCAACTTGCATTAGAGATAGTAGGACGATGAGGCAAAGTTGCACACTACACATCACTGCGCTGACGATGCCACCTCGCATGGTGGCGGAACGTAGGCAGCCAGATCGTCAAGATGGGGGAACAAATGACCAAATGAATAGAGTTGGCAACTTTGTTTTGATTAGCAAGGGAATTGGTGATCTATGCAAACAAGGCCCCCTAATTTTCATATGCTCAGATAAGTATAGTTCGTCGGGCCAACCACGGGAAATATAGCCATACTCACTCCAACGACCAAAATGTAACTAGAACATGAAGCATCAACATCATGTTCGTCGCTAGTCAAGTACTGGGGCTGTTCACTTTACACGGAAGTTCCTGATCGATTTATCTTGGGATGCATGATCCAACTTTGGAATGTCCACCCGATTGCTAATTTTCCACCAAAGCGATGAAGCGCTGCTTTGCGTACTGTAATTAGCAAATTCGTTGGAGGTTTGGTTACTGGTAAGTATGTTAAGGTAAGGTAATGCTTACGTACATCCGGCACACCAATGATCTGCTTGGCAAGTTGTTGCGCTGACGTATACTCCTGTTCGATTCATCCGTCCATGTCTTCCTCTAACTTCTCAAATATAGTTCGCTGTGTTCAACTTCGTTTATCTTCTGTTATCCGCACTCTAGTACATGCCCTAGTCAGGACAGGTATTCATTAGCTCTTTAAGCGTTGTTACTTCTGTGATGCGAGATAAAAGAGCACTGAGTACAACTATGTAACCATCCGCGAACAGGGTGCTTTATTGCATTAGGTTGTGTTAAACTCACTAGTACCGATACCAGAGCACATGCGTACACATGATCCTTCGGAAGCCAATAAATTGCAATTCGCTGTTGGTTACTGCTCCCCAAAACTACTGTAGCCATCCACTGAGGTTAAATAAATCTCCACGTGTAATTATTAAAACGATACACTGAACAATGATTTATCACAGGATAAAAACAAGTGCTTGACAAGTCCCGTAAAATGGTTGGGGTGAATACGATGAAATTAAAATATATGTGGGTCATCTACAGAGAGTCTACTGAGGTGAATGCCTTGATGAATAACGTCAGTGTAAACTAAAAATAAATTCGAGTGCAAGCGTGCATAAATAGACGGAAAGCCGTGATCGTTGATATAAGGCGTGACAAAAGTAAAATATGGTAGCTCACTTGGGTCCATTTGACACATAAATCCCGTAGAAAGACACGAATGGTGTAATCCAGAATAGCGTAGTTTGAATAACAAACTGCTGAAAGCTAATCTTTTTTGAACATGTCCAGAGAAGGGGAGGATACAGCCTAGTCTGGGAGTGCGTCCCAGCGTTGGCAAACCCGAAGGGAAAAGTACTTATCTCGACACTATAGACGGTTACATTACGCCCTCAATTTCAAGCAGTTACCCCAGAGCTGCGTGTTGTGGCTAAGTTGCAGCAACTGGCGGCATACGTGTTTAGGGTCCCTCAATATTTGGTACGCTAATGTAAGATATCCGCAACGCTTTCGGTACGTCGGCTGAAAATTCCCACTAACTTTAGCCTTCCGTGGTGTGATAGCGCAGACCCTTTACATTCGTTGTTGCTCTGCGTTGTGGTGCCTCTAATGCCTCAAGATCGCGCTTCAACGAAGGTTGCTAAGCATGGATAGCGTATTTAACGTGTGGGTGCACGTAGGAGTTGTGCATCATTGGGAAGATTGATGGGTCGAATCTAGCGTATAACGCTTCACAGCGTGCCGACGTGCTGGTTGCATCTTTTCAGTTAGCCTGCTTTGAACAGTTGAGCTCACACTGTACGAGCACACCAACGTCACGCTCCTAGGAGATGGTCTACACTTCGCGTGCCCCAAGCAAATACATGTAGTCATGTCTATGGAGTAATTGCACAACGCGACGTTTGTCTACCTTGAATGGTAAGGTGTTTTGAACTGACCATTTCGACACCGCATTATGATCGCATTGGAGCCGTTCGTGGTCATCCAGTCCTCTGATCCTTCGCCATATCATGATATTAGCCGCGACAAACAGGAAACCAGAAGCTTTGCTCTCTCTAGACCTTTAGTGAACACCAAGCATAGACGAGTCCTAGCATCGAACCTTGTGGTACACTACACTATACATCAATTTCATGGGACAGTGATTCCCGGACTCTCACCTGCAACCGACGTTCATGAGAAAATTTGTAATCCAACTCAGGATTGCGTCGTCAATGCCGTAGTTCCGAAGCTTGTGTAGAATTTGATTGTCTACGCGATCAAACACTTTAGAGTAGTCCAGGTAGAGGACGTCGACTGCTGTTCCAATAACAGCGGCTACAGTTCAGTTATTGCATGCAATTAATAGGTTAGTAGCATACGGACGCTTTTGACAGAAGCCATGTTCCTCTGGGGTCATTAAGTTGTGGCTTTCCAAATACTGCATCAGCGCATCGGCGATGATTGATTTCATAACTTTGCATAGCACAGACAGTGGCGTTATTGGACGGTAGTTGGTAGGGTCAGCGCGGCGAAATTTATGCATAGTGGTGATGACCTCTCGCTTCCATACTGGTGGAATATGGTTCGCTTTTATGTCTCCTATGCAGGAGCATAGATTCTTCTTCCTATTTTGGTAGGCTGCACAATACACGTTGGGTTCAGTCGCCTCCACCTTCTATACTGTCCCTTAATTGACATGTCTCTTACGTGTCATTGATTGCCGACTAGTATCCCAAGCGCCACCTAACAATCCAAATGCAATGTTGGATACGATCAGGACTTTCGGATATACTCTGCGAATCGACATATGTGCGTTATTCGTGTCCCACATTTCGTAGCTTGGTTCAGTCATCAATGCCAGTAGTCGTCGTCCTGGTCAGTCAAATATTAGGGCAACCCAGTAACTACAAGTTCCAAATGGCAGGGATACACTGCAGTCGTTGTTGGGACTAGTAAAATACTACAATAACTGTCCTTACTATGCAACTGCTACGAATACCACTAAATTAACTCTTGAATATTAATACCAAATGGGCACGGTAACAAGCTTGTCAGTCGGCCTATGGTGAAATGAAACGCATTTTAACTTCGGATCTTGCACTTACTTAATATGACCCGAAACTATCCATCATAGTCACTGCCGATGCTTCAGAGTACCGGACTGGCTCACCGGGTTCCGGATAGCAGGCAAAAAGTAGTCAGTCATGTTTCACGCACGCTAACAACAACTGAACAGGATTGCAGCCAAATTGGAAAAGAAGGTTTAGCAATTGTGTTTGCAGTCAAAATTTTTCATAACATGTTGCATGGTCGGAAATGCACACTATGCATTGATCACATCCCCCTGCGGTCTATATTTGGTACCAAGAAAGGAATTCCTGTGCACATGGTAAATCGCACGCAAGGTTGGGCAACAATCCTTCTCGGATTTAGTTTTACCATTAGACACATCCGTTCGGAATGCTTTGTC